ACTTATAAACATTATTTTTATAATACTTAAGAAAGAACAATAACTGCTAGAATTTTTTCAAATATGACTAAATAAATAACTGTCCATCTCTAATTCCTACCTTATTACTAAGCATGTGTTTTAAATATAAAAATTAAGTTTAATAAATCAATGTTAAATAATTTTTTTGTGATATCTGTTCATAAAACAAAATATATAAATTAATACTTGATAATTAATTAATTAATGATTATATTTATTTGTTCTTTTTATCCATTTATAATTAATTAATTAATTAATTTTCATAAATTGGTATACAATATTTTTGAAAAAAAAAATAAATGATATAATAGATTAAAAAATATAAAGAATTAGAAGAAGTAATTATTATTTTTTTTATTAACATCCTTCAAATTTATATAAATTAATAAAAAAAGTTTAAAAGCTCTTCACTTTTATCTCATTAGGTTCTCCATATTGATCTGAGGTATATTAAATTAAAAAATATTATTTTTATTATTATAAATATTTTTATACATTTAAATTTCAATTTATTTAAATAAATAATTTTTATTATAGAAATTATCATCATTATTTATTGATTTTTATTAAAATAAAAAATTTTTAGCTATTTTAACTTAACTTAATTTTCATTTCAATTTTTAATTAATTATTTATTATTCATTTTTTATTTTTAAATTTTTTCTTCATTTTTTGCTATTAAAATTTACAGTTATAAAAGCAGTTTATTAGTTTTGGATTATAATATTTTTAATTATAAGAGTTAATTTAAAAAATTTAAGCTCTTTAAGTTTATTTGATTTCTTTTCTTTTTTTTCGTTCATTTTGTTAATTTTATTAATTATTAATAAATCTTATTATTTCATATTTTTTCCTTTATATAGCTAAATGCCATTCAAAAATATAGTGAATTGAGATCACTATTTTTTTGAATGGCTTATGCATTTTATAATAGAATTTATTTCATCATTAATAATTTTAATTTATATTAATCTTTATGATTTTTCAATTAATTTTTTAATTTTAGCTTTTTTTAAAAATTTATCTTCAAAAAAATTTAAAAAATGTAAAAACTGGTATATAATTTGCTTTTTGAAAATTTTTATGGCAACTTACCTATTTAATAAAATATTTTTTCTTCAATATTTAAAAAGTTATAATGAAATTGGCTACAAAGGTGCATCAGGCTTAGGTTCTGGTTTAGAAAATTGCATTAATCTCTCAAATTTGACACTTAACCTTTAGTAAAAACAGTTTATTTGTTTTCGATTGTGATATTTTTAATTATAAAAACTAATTTAAAACAATAAAGCTCTTTTTTCTTTTTCTTTTCATTGTGCTTGCTTTTTTTGTTCTTTCTTTGTTAATTTATTTAGCTCATCCTTTTATTTTCAAATTTTTTACTTTTATTATTAACTAATTAATTAATCTTATTATTTCATATTTTTCTTCATTTTTTCCTTCTAATTAACTATTTTATGATATATTTTTTCTTCAATATTTAAATAGTAATAATAAAATTGGTGACGAAGGTGCATCAGGCTTATGTTCTGGTTTAGCAAATTGCATTAATCTCTCAAATTTGACACTTGAAATTAGGTAAAAACAGTTTATTTGTTTTGGATTGTGAAATTTTTAATTATAAAAACTAATAAAAAACAATAAAGCTCTTTTTTATTTTTCTTTTTATTGTGCTTGCTTTTTTTTGTTCTTTCTTTGTTAATTTTTATATAGCTCATCCTTTTATTCTCAAATTTTTTACTTTTATTATTAATTAATTAATCTTATTATTTCATATTTTTCTTCATTTTTTCCTTCTAATTAACTATTTAATGATTTATTTTTTCTTTATTTAAAAAGTTCTAATAAAATTGGTGACAAAGGTGCATCAGACTTAGGTTCTGCTTTAGCAAATTGCATTAATCTCTCAAATTTGACACTTCACCTTAGGTAAAATAAGTTTATTTGTTTTGCATTGTGATATTTTTAATTATAAAGACTAATTAAATACAACAAAGCTCTTTTTTCTTTTTCTTTTCATTGTGCTTGCTTTTTTTTGTTCTTTCTTTGTTAATTTATTTAGCTCATCCTTTTATTTTCAAATTTTTTACTTCTATTATTAATTTATTAATTAATCTTATTATTTCATATTTTTCTTCATTTTTTCCTTCTAATTAACTATTTAATGATTTATTTTTTATTCAATATTTAAAAAGTTCTAATTAAATTGGCGAAAAAGGTTCATCAGACTTAGGTTCTGCTTTAGCAAATTGCATTAATCTCTCAAATTTGACACTTCACCTTGGGTAAAATCAGTTTATTTGTTTTGGATTGTGATATTTTTAATTATAAAAACTAATTAAAAGCAATCAAGCTCTTTTTTCTTTTTGTTTTTATTGTGCTTGCTTTTTTTTGTTCTTTCTTTGTTAATTTATTTCGCTCATCCTTTTATTTTCAAACTTTTTACTTTTATTATTAATTAATTAATTAATCTTATTATTTCATATTTTTTCTTCATTTTTTCCTTCAAATTTACTATTTAATGATATATTTTTTCTTCAATATTTAAAAAGTTTCAATAAAATTGGTGACAAAGGTGCATCAGGCTTAGGTTCTGGTTTAGAAAATTGCATTAATCTCTCAAATTTGAGACTTTACCTTATGTAAAATCAGTTTATTTGTTTTGGATTGTGATATTTTTAATTATAAAAACTAATTTAAAACAACAAAACTCTTTTTTCTATTTCTTTTTATTGTGCTTGCTTTTTTTTGTTCTTTCTTTGTTAATTTATTTAGCTCATCCTTTTATTTTCAAATTTTTACTTTTATTAGTAATTAATTAATTTACTTTTTCATATTTTTTCTTCATTTTTTCTTTCTAATTAACTATTTCATGATATATTTTTTCTTCAATATTTAAAAAGTGAAAATTAAATTGGTGAAAAAGGTGCATCAGACTTAGGTTCTGCTTTAGCAAATTGCATTAATCTCTCAAATTTGACACTCGACCTTAGGTAAAATAAGTTTATTTGTTTTGGATTGTGATATTTTTAATTATAAAAACTAATAAAAAACAATAAAGCTCTTTTTTCTTTTTCTTTTTTATTGTGCTTGCTTTTTTTGTTCTTTCTTTGTTAATTTTTATTTAGCTCATCCTTTTATTTTCAAAATATTTACTTTTATTATTAATTAATTAATCTTATTATTTCATATTTTTCTTCATTTTTTCCTTCTAATTAAATATTTAATGATTTATTTTTTTTCAACATTTAAAAAGTTATAATAAAATTGTTGATGAAGGTTCATCAGGCTTAGGTTCTGGTTTAGCAAATTGCATTAATTTCTCAAATTTGGCACTTGACCTTAGGTAAAATAAGTTTATTTGTTTTGGATTGTGATATTTTTAATTATAAAAACTAATTAAAAACAACAAAGCTCTTTTTTCTTTTTCTTTTCATTGTGCTAGCTTTTTTTTGTTCTTTCTTTGTTAATTTTTATTTAACTCATCCTTTTATTTTCAAATTTTTTACTTTTATTATTAATTAATTAATTAATCTTATTATTTCATATTTTTCTTCATTTTTTCCTTCTAATTAAATATTTAATGATTTATTTTTTATTCAATATTTAAAAAGTTATAATAAAATTGTTGATAAAGGTGCATCAGGCTTATGTTCTGGTTTAGCAAATAGCATTAATCTCTCAAATTTGACACTTTGCCTTCAGTAAAATAAGTTTATTTGTTTTAGATTGTGATATTTTTAATTATAAAAACTAATTAAAAACAACAAAGCTCTTTTTTCTTTTTCTTTTCATTGTGCTTGCTTTTTTTTGTACTTTCTTTGTTAATTTATTTAGCTTATCCTTTTATTTTCAAATTTTTTACTTTTATTATTAATTTATTAATTAATCTTATTATTTCATATTTTTCTTCATTTTTTCCTTCTAATTAACTATTTAATGATTTATTTTTTCTTCAATATTTAAAAAGTAAGAATAAAATTGTTGATAAAGGTACATCAGGCTTATGTTCTGGTTTAGCAAATTGCATTAATTTCTCAAATTTGGCACTTTGCCTTAGGTAAAATCAGTTTTTTTGTTTTAGATTGTGATATTTTTAATTATAAAAACTAATTAAAAACAACAAAGCTCTTTTTTCTTTTTCTTTTCATTGTGCTTGCTTTTTTTTGTACTTTCTTTGTTAATTTATTTAGCTTATCCTTTTATTTTCAAATTTTTTACTTTTATTATTAATTTATTAATTAATCTTATTATTTCATATTTTTCTTCATTTTTTCCTTCTAATTAACTATTTAATGATTTATTTTTTCTTCAATATTTAAAAAGTAAGAATTAAATTGGTGACAAAGGTGCATCAAGCTTAGGTTCTGCTTTAGCAAATTGCATTAATCTCTCATATTTGACACTTGACCTTCAGTAAAATCAGTTTATTTGTTTTGGATTGTGATATTTTTAATTATAAAAACTAATTAAAAACAACATAGCTCTTTTTTCTTTTTGTTTATATTGTGCTTGCTTTTTTTTGTTCTTTCTTTGTTAATTTATTTAACTCATCCTTTTATTTTCAAATTTTTTACTTATTATTATTAATTAATTAATCTTATTATTTCATATTTTTCTTCATTTTTTCCTTCTAATTAAATATTTAATGATTTATTTTTTCTTCAATATTTAAAAAGTTCTAATAAAATTGGTGACAAAGGTGCATCAGGATTAGGTTCTGGTTTAGCAAATTGCATTAATCTCTCAAATTTGACACTTGACCTTCAGTAAAATCAGTTTATTTGTTTTGGATTGTGATATTTTTAATTATAAAAACTAATTAAAAACAACAAAGCTCTTTTTTCTTTTTCTTATCATTTTGCTTGCTTTTTTTTGTTCTTTCTTTGTTAATTTATTTAACTCATCCTTTTATTTTCAAATTTTTTACTTTTATTATTAATTAATTAATCTTATTATTTCATATTTTTCTTCATTTTTTCCTTCTAATTAAATATTTAATGATTTATTTTTTCTTCAATATTTAAAAAGTTCTAATAAAATTGGTGACAAAGGTGCATCAGGCTTAGGTTATGGTTTAGCAAATTGCATTAATCTCTCAAATTTGACACTTGACCTTCAGTAAAATCAGTTTATTTGTTTTTGATTGTGATATTTTTAATTATAAAAACTAATTAAAAACATAGCTCTTTTTTCTTTTTCTTTTCATTGTGCTTGCTTTTTTTTGTTCTTTCTTTGTTAATTTTATTTAACTCATCCTTTTATTTTCAAATTTTTTACTTTTATTATTAATTAATTAATTAATCTTATTATTTCATATTTTTTCTTCATTTTTTCCTTCTAATTAACTATTTAATGATTTATTTTTTCTTCAATATTTAAAAAGTTACAATTAAATTGATAATGAAGACACATCAGGCTTAGGTTCTGGTTTAGCTAATTGCATTAATCTCTCAAATTTGAAACTTAGACTTACGTAAAATCAGTTTATTTGTTTTGGATTGTGATATTTTTAATTATAAAAACTAATTAAAAACAATCAAGCTCTTTTTTCTTTTTCTTTACATTGTGCTTGCTTTTTTTTGTTCGTTCTTTGTTAATTTATTTAGCTTATCCTTTTATTTAAAATTTTCTTCTATTTTGATATTTATTTAAATTTTACACAAATTTATTATAAAATATTAGCCTAAACAATGAATCATAAAGAATCAAATTAAGAAGCAAGTGTCTTAAATCAAAAAGATTAGTTGTCTTTCAAAAATAATTCTGGTGATAAACAAGTGGCGAAAAAAGGATGAATGAATAAATTTAAATGTTTGAATAATATTATATAATATTTTGAAAAGTTTTTTTAAATCTAAAATATAAACTGATATATAGATAGATTTTATTATTGATTTTATATTTATAAATATCATTCATATTTATTTTTGTAAGTTGATAAATTATTTATAATAAATAAAAAAATTAAATTTACTTAAATAAATTAATTCCTCTTAAGTAACCCTATGGTTTCTCCAAAAATGATCAAATAATTTGAACCTGTTAGTGTTATATTATTTCTTTATAAATTATATAAATGCCAAAAATGATGTGATTACTTGTGTAGTATTTTTTGTTTTATTTTTAGTTTTATTCAAAAAATATTTTAAATTTATCTTCATAAAATAATTTATTTTTGAAATTATAATAAATTAAATTATTAAATATAATTCTATAATAAAATATAAAAATCAAATTTTTTTTTTTTTATTTAATAAAAAATCTATTTCATAATAAGTGGCATGCAAGTCACAAAATTTTTGTATGGCATCTTGCTATAATTAGATATATTATAAATATTACTAAAATTACAGAGCTAAAACAGAAATATCTACTTATAAACATTATTTTTATAATACTTAAGAAAGAACAATAACTGCTAGAATTTTTTCAAATATGACTAAATAAATAACTGTCCATCTCTAATTCCTACCTTATTACTAAGCATGTGTTTTAAATATAAAAATTAAGTTTAATAAATCAATGTTAAATAATTTTTTTGTGATATCTGTTCATAAAACAAAATATATAAATTAATACTTGATAATTAATTAATTAATGATTATATTTATTTGTTCTTTTTATCCATTTATAATTAATTAATTAATTAATTTTCATAAATTGCTATACAATATTTTTGAAAAAAAAAATAAATGATATAATAGATTAAAAAATATTACAAATTAGAAGAAGTAATTATTATTTTTTTTATTAAAATCCTTCAAATTTATATAAATTAATAA